GGCCGCGGTGCCCTCCCAGCCCCGCACACAGCATTTGAAGTAGGAATAAGAGATCCTCTGGAAAAGGGCTTTATTCCGGAGGATCGCGCCAGTCTAGATGCTTTTTTCCGGCTTTTCCCCAAGCCGGAAAAAAAGCGGTGGCCATGTTTATTTAAATCCCCCGCAGATTTCCCTATTCTGAAGTTGGAAATTAACATGCCTCTTCCGGAGAAGGGGCCAATGTAGACGTAGCCGTTGTGTTTGCTGTGACCTGAACGAGGAAACCCACCAGCTTCGTGTGTACCACAGCGGCCCTGCCACAGACCAGCCGTTCTCCCTTGGCACGCTGACCTCGGCAGGATGGTAAAGCCCTCTGCCCCGGCTGGCTCCCTCCCTCCCGCGTGTCTTGGCGCCTGTACTTTGCTGTGCACTGTGCAGGGTCACCCCCGTGTTGCCCCTCTCCCCCCCAGGTACAGCCCAAAGCTCCTGTGGTCTCCAGCTATCAGCGCCTGCAGAATGACCTGGGTCCCCAGGCAGCCTGGGTCCGACTCGGCCTCTTCCAGCCCACCACCAGAGAGACCTGCCTCTGCACCGCCATGGGAAACAGGTGAGCTGGTGCGGGGGGAGGGGAGTGGAGGGCAGGGCAGAGAGGAGCAAGCTTTTCGTATTTGGGCGTAATGGAGTAGGGGGGATTGAATGTCCCTGAAAGGATAAGAACAGGAGGGGCACTGGTGCCGGCGACTCAGCGCACGGTGTGCAGCCAGCTTGAACGCACAAAGCTTCCACACACGTCCATGCTCCTCCTGTCCTCTCACACTCAGCACCACCAAAGCCATGAGTCCTGAGCTGCAGGGAGCTGCCCCTCCATTATTTCTTCCTGAGCTGCTCTCCCATGCTTGCTGTTCTAGACCTGAACCCTCACTCAGCTTAGCCAGCACCTCCCAGGCCCAATCTGCAGCAGCCCACAGGGATTCCACTGCTCCCCTCTAGCCGTGCAAGTTTCTAGGGCCTGTGTAAGAGGAGACTAAGGGGGGAGGGTGGCATGATCAAGGTCTATAAAATGATGACTGGTGTGGAGAAAATGAAAGTTATTTACTTGGTCCCATAAGAAGTAGAGGTCACCAAATGAAAGTAATAGGCAGCAGGTTTAAAACAATCAAACCATGCTGCCTGCCTGAATTCCTCTGTGTATCAGTCTTAAATTACTGTATCGTGGCCTGCTGGACATTGGACTGGGCTGATGTAGAGAAAGGTTGGCACGCAGGTCCGGACTGTCTTGCAAGTGATCCAAGGAGCATGCTTCTGAGTCAGAATGACAGTAGTAGCCTCATGCTTCAACAATCTGATTGTTCTCCTAGTACCAGGGGTGAGAGCCCTAAACCCCTAGACTGCGTCTAGACTGGGAAGATTTTCCACAAAAGCAGCCGCTTTTGCAGAAAAACTTGCCAGCTGCCTACACGGGCTGCTTTGAATTTGCGCAAGAACACTTGACGATCTCATGTAAGATTGTCAGTGTTCTTCCGCAAATACAACGACTCTCCCGTTCGGGAAAAGGCCGTCTTGCGCAAATGCTTTTGTGCAGGAGGGCCAGTGTAGACAGCTGGGAACTGTTCTGCGCAAAAAAGCCCCGATAGCAAAAATGGCGATTGGAGCTTTCTTGCGCAAAACCGCGTCTAGATTGGCACAGACACTTTTCCGTAAAAAGTGCTTTTGCAGAAAAGCATCCGTGCCAATCTAGACGCTCTTTTCCATAAATGCTTTTAACAGAAAAACTTTTCCCTTAAAAGCATTTGCAGAAAATCATGCCAGTCTAGACGTAGCCCTATTGTTCTACACAGCTGCTGTGTTTGTGTAGGTTCCGTGTGGGGCTAGACTGGAGCTGGGCCCGGCTGATTTGCAGACACAGACTACACCTGCCCTGCTCTGCAGCCCTGCTGCTTTCTAGAGAATTGAAGGTTTTATTACACACCCCAGAAAACCTTGTCCAATCTTTGGGATTGCAAAGACAGACAAGCAGGGGCTATATGCCTGGAATGTACAGGCATGGAGTCAGGCACTCCATTGGGCTGCCGAAGGGCAGTGTTATTAACCTGTCCACTGCTGGTCATTCTAGCTGCTCTGGCACAGAGTACACAAGTTGAGAGGTAGTTCCTTTTCTCTACCCCCAGTCAGCCTCTTGGTTTCGCGGGACAGTGCTGGGTCCCATCCATGCGTGGGGTGCAGCTGTTGTTGGAGCATCCACATACAGGCTCTTGCTGACATATCTTGACCAGGTCCTGTCTCTGGCTTTTGATCTCCTTGCTCGCAGTTGCTCCTGTTTGCATGGGATGGTGCCGAGAATCTATGCTGGTCTGTTTTGGTGATGGCTCATTTCTGCTTCAGTCCCCCTGGGGCCTTTCATTCTGGGAGACCCTGGCTAAAATACCATCATCCTGTCTTGTCGAGGTGCTTGACAGCTACCAGCAACGGCCAGTGTCAGTGGATGTTCTGGAGATGTCTCATTTCCATAGGAAGAGAACAGGATGGGTTGGGAGAGGTGGTGATATAGTGCATCTGCACTGCTGCAGCTTAATTATACATTGGCTCAAACTTTGTTGTAGTCTCACACAGTAAAACCCTGCCGGGATCATAATAAGAACCCAGGGATAGAGACTTTGAAGGGCAACACTCAGCGTGGGGCACGGTGTGAGCACCAAAGTAGGGTCTAATTTTGCAGCTTAGCTTCCACCTTGGCCCCTTAAATGGTCTCGTTTCTGGATCAGTTTGGAGTTTCACGGCTAATGTTTTCTCTCCTTCCAGTCCTTTCCTCAGAGACTTTACAATGAGTATTTAACGGTGATTATGTACCTGTACAAAGTCCTGGCGAGACCCGAGCATGATGCCTTGGGCAAAGAGGCAAGCCCCTGCCCTGTGCTGAGGGATCCTGAGGAAAGAGGGGGAAAGGCTGCGTTACACACTGGGGAGCAAGACATGGGCTGCAGCCCGTGTTCTCTAGAGGCTACTGCAACACTGATGTTTATCAACTGCCTCTGTACCATCAGGCTCTCAGCCAGCTGCAGCCATGTTCTCATCAAACCCACTGGCATTCAGATACAGCTCTCCCACCTGCCTTCATGCTTTTCCACAGCACCTTTGAGAGAAGGTTCCTTTCTTCTTCCCTTGTAGGCAGGAGCCCTCACGACTCAGCACAGAGCAGAGAATCCCATCGCAGAGTTCTGACTGACCACAGGACCCTTGTGCCACCACCGGGAAAGATGTTGGGGGTGAGCAGGGAGAGGACCCGTTGCAGTTCCTGTCCCATGTGCACCCTACTCGAGCTTCAGCCAAGTGCGAGTCTTGCTTGTGTTCCCACAGAACATCGTGGCTTCCTTGTCCCATGGGAAGCGTGCCAGCATCCTGCAGGAGCTGGCAAACAGGAAAGCAGTGAGTAATCATGCCAGGCTGGGGCCTGTCTTATTAATCACTGTGTAGTAGCAAGACTCTAGTATTAATGCTGTGAAGAGGGGGGAAAATGACTTGGGAAAATGACTCCTCCAGCCCCACCACCCTACAATCAAGTGTGCTATTCCCAATGCAAAACGCTGTCCTTGAGGTACTCAGTCCATGCTGATTTAGTGACTTTCATACCTCCCTTGCATGAGTGTAATAACTTAATTTGCTAAAGGAGGTTAAGCCACTGTCTGTTCAGGTCAACACAGGGCAGCACTTGGAACTAGCAGGAGCACAGAGGCCAGCTTTTTGAGAACAGACTCCATTGCACTAATAAGCATCAGTGATAAGGTAGGTGCTGAGGTTTTATTTTTTTTAAAAAGATGCCACTTGTGGGTGCTGAGGGGGGGGAAGCTGTTCAGTTGTTTCCAAGCACCAGGCTGATTTTTTTCTCCATCCCATGGAGTTGGTTGGCAAGAGGGGCATCTGCGGTTGTCCATATGGCTGATGGTAGGCAGGATGAAGAACTTAGCTTGCGTGACAAACAGGTGAGCACCATGTTAGGGTTAGCGGAGGGGTGCAGGAATCCTTTGAAAGGAATTGGCACTTGGCTGTAAGATTTCCTCACCTTTAATATTATATGGAGGCAGACTCCACTTGTGTAGAAATCTGTCTAAGAAAGCAGGGTACTGCCACTTTGAGCACGTGACATGCAGTGTTTAGTGTTTAGGAAACCACTGTTAAGTCTTATCTAAAGATGATTGCTAGGATGATGTCTCTGTACGGTAAGAACAGTGATGCTTACAGAATCAGCACCAGCAAGGAACAGCAGTAGAGGTTAATGATAAGGGCTTTTATTGAAGAGAGTACAGGTGGGTTCCTACACTAGAGGCAAAGTTAGTCACATTGCAGTTGTAAAGCAAACAGCCACAAAACACCACCACCACAAATAGCAGAAGCATGCACAGGAAGGAACAGATCCTACTACTTCAGAACAGCAGAGCACAAGAGAAGATACTTGCTACAAAGGCCAGAAACACTGGTTAGTGCACAACCACTACAGGAAGTGGCATTAGCAAACTGAAAAAAGATACTAACAGGAACTGCCAGTTTAGATTTTGAAAATTACACAATACATAATTCCCTACTTCAGATAAAAGTAGAGGTAAGGCCCATGGCTACATTACATATATCCCAGCTGTTCAGGCTAAGTTTTACCATCACACATTAGGACCTGAAATATCACTTAAGGGCCATCTGATTCTCCCCCATCAATGTGTGGTTTGGAGGGAAATAATGTCACCCTTCGTTTAGCTATAGCTACACTGCCCAAAACTGAAGTGTAAACCAGGCTCCAGGAAGAATGTGTTGCTGTACTATGCTTGGTATGTAGCCAGACTAGCTCCACTGCACCTCCCATCAGCAGGGTTCAGAAGGAGAAAGTACTTCCTATATTCCTATTTAAATCTGCTGAGCTTGTATACCTACAGCTAAAGTTTTCTAGTTACGTGGTCTAGAAGTAAACATTGAGCCTTAGTTTCCAAGACACTAACTTTGAGATCCAGCACCAATACTTGGACTCTCACTTAACGAGGCTCTAGACAACTTTTGAGAGGCCCCACTGTGTCAAGCCTTCTATTTTTTAACCTCAGGGTATCAATCAGTCCTGCCTCCCCAAGGAAGGCAGTTTTACAAGAAGGAACTTTGTGTGCTAAAGAGAAGGCAGAAAGCCTGCAAGAGGTAAGAAAGCTGTAGTAACTGTTTTAACCCAATCAATCTACTGTTTCCCTTTAACAAACTAATTAGATTGTCAAAGATAAGGCAGGCAGTGGGCATGATGTGCTCTTCAGCAAGGTTTTTGACATACCTTCTCCCCCCCACCTCCCAACATTCTCACAAGCAAGCTGGAGAAATGTTGTCTTGTTACAACTAAATTAAGGATTAACTAGAATTAAAAGGGATCTTGACAAATTGAGAGATTTAGACTATAGCCAACAAAAAAAATTCAGCAAAGAAATTTAAAGAGCTACTCATAAGCAGAACACACCAAATGCACATATAGGGATCTGCAATAGATTCTCAGCAGTTGAGAGTTATGGTAGTTATTGCATGAGTCCGATTAACAAAAACATAGCAATACACATGACAGATTGTGCCAGTGACTGGAAAGGATCCAGAGGTGAGTTAAAGATGATCAAAGGCTGAAGGAACTGGTTAGGTGTAGTTTGGGATAAAGGGCAGGGAGGGGCATAACATGACAGCAGTCTATTACTTGAAAGGCTCCCATAAAGATTGAGAAGTTCTACCCTGGCAAGAGATAAGAGGCAGCGAGTGGTTCAAACAGCACAGCAGATTAAGATTAAGTCAAAGGAAAAATATCCTAGTTGCAAGAACAGCAGGACACTGGAACAAATTGCTTTAGGGAAGTTGTGGAAACTCACTGGGAATCTTCAAAATGGTGCTGGATAGCAATCTGTTTTCCCAATTAAAACATCTTTGAGCATTGACAGAATAGCTTTGCTTTTCCTCTTTTAGGTAAAGGCCCATCTCTAATAGTATCCTGTGAATGTCAAGTTAAGTTTTGTCTGTATATAGTGGGACACCTGTAACAATTATTGCTTATTTCAGGCCCAGCTGTTAATTCTAGATCAAATCTAGCACTCAAGAAAGACGACACAGTTGACTCAATTGGCCAAGCAAGATTACATTCTGCAGCAAAGGATCATCAAGATTATTTGTTACTTACCTCACTGCAGTTGACAAGTAGCTGGGTCAAGTGAGCAAGCTTCTGCAGATACACTCTGGATGAACATTACTGTTCCTTGGGACATTTTGTCAACAGCACAATAGAGCTGAGAATTTGTTCCTCTGTTCTGTTGTACCAGAAACATAGTTCACCCATATTAAGGAAGAGTCTGAAACATTTGCTTACAATCTTTATTGAAGTCATACAAAAGTTGTCAAAGTGAAAAAATACACTATATACAAAACCATTCTCCTTGGGAGGAGAGGAGGGGTCCATGTTAAAGACCTATCATACTGTATTTTCAACTGCAGCCCCTGATTCCATTTGTGGCCTTTTCTCTGTCTGAAAGAGAGAAATGCAATTTAAGAATCCGTATTACATGTTCCACATCAGCTAATTCATGTGCCAACTCAGAAAATGTTGATAGCTTGGATAGTTACATTAACTGGTTACCTACACTCCACTGGTAATTATAGAAACCAAGCACTATTCTGAAATCTAGATGTAGACAAGTTTCAAAGCCTGCATGCCCTTTGGTTTTAAGTAAGGCTTCTACTCCATGTCAATTACACACCAATACTTTAGGAGAATCTTGTGGTTTTGCTCAGCTGTAATTTAAACACTTAGCTCTGTGTTACCATCTCCCCAGTGGGCAAAACTATGGGGCTGTTTTACTTTCCAAATGACTAAGGGTCAGATGTGTGTGTAACATGCACTCTGCTGACCCCAGCAAATTCCTAGCTCCATACAGCAGTCTTAGGAAGACAGCCAGCAGGTAAAGTATTAGACGCATCAGGCATGAAAAGTATGCCTGAACAGATGGAAATATACACGGCACAGACTCCTGACTCAACTGCCCACCTCTTCTTCCACTTTTTCTGCAACCTCATTTCCACTGGGGGCAGCATCTCCACCACCATTGACAGACGGTTCTGGTTTACATTTCTTAGCTTCATTGTCTCCCTGTTGAGTCTCCTCCTCTGGTTTCCTCTGAAGACAAAATTGTTTAGTCTTCACTATGTACAAATTTAAGACTCTAGAAAATTAATGTTTAGATGTTGCACATTAACTACTCAATCCCTAGTCACGATGGGTTACACCAAATAGGACTTAAAATGTCAAATGAATCCTAAGCTTTTGGCACAAGAGTTCAATTGCAGTAAGGAATCCTGATTCTACCTTGCCTAGATACTAGTAGTATCTTCATTTTTGCCATCCTTAATTATACTTTGGTAGGAAAGCATCCTCTTTATACATTAAATTTCTGGTTTTAGTACCCTTACATCTGAGCTAAGCTTCTGAACTGATGGCAGAGGCTTCAGATGTGCCCTGAGAGTTGGGACTGAAAGATGCTGGCATGAAAAAAATGCAAACAAACATTGCATGCCGTAACAATACATCAATATGCAAGTGAAAAGTACTCGGAAATTTGATTTAGATTAGGAAAATACTAATGACACTTTCCTCCACCTCCTCCCCCCCCCCCCCCCCCCCACACCACCACACACAGCACCAAACACTTTGATTACTAATTACTCCAATAAGTCAGATTTTACTAGGAGTATACAAACTACCCCTTTAGACTGGCTTTGCTATTTTAACTCCAATGCTCCGTTTCCACTTGGAAATAAGGGAACCCAACTCAGGCTGGTTGTTTTCCCTCAATATCTATGGCCTACCCTGCTCCTTCATGCAGGGCCTCAACATAGAGCACTGAGTGTCTATAGGACCCACACAATTCAGCTTTGAAATTAAACCAGTGCGGATCAGGAGGGGTGCTGTAAAGCATACAAGGAACCATCAAAAGCTACTTTCCAGGAAAACTGATTGGCTCCCAGACTGATTGGCTCCCAGTGGAAAGGAGTTTTATGCAGTATTCTCCCCACCCCAAGAATTTGTTCTGTGCATAACGGTGAGAGTTAAAGGCTTTGGTTAGCCAACTATACACAGTGCAAGCCAGCAGTAGTTTTATATTAGTTTGGACAAACAGCTCTATATATCTGGACACACCTTTTTTCTGACAAGATGGGAGATGTCTGTAACACACTGGGACGCTCCATCAGTTGGTTTTCTTACTGAGACCTATTACCAGACAGAGGTTGTAAAGAAAGCAACATTAAAACTTCCCAATAAAGTAGTATTTAAATGCCTGTCTGAACTCTGATTTATTTCACTTACTGTAGAAACAGAACAGCTTTCTTCACTCTGTGTAAAACCAGAGGTAGTGCCTCCAACCTAAAATGAAAGAAACCATAGCAATTAGTCAAGCTCTTCTGGCTTCCAGTTGTGTTACTGATCACCCAAAAGGATGTCTGCAGGAGCAGCTCAAGGCCGGCTGCGACAGCTGGCGCCCCAGGCGGAAGGCGCACAGCCCATCAATGGCCATGGAGTCATCATCAGGCGCCTGGGCCAGCAGCACCCTTGGCAACTGCCTAGTTTGCCTAGGCTCACACGCCACCCCTGGATGCCTGCCATGAAAATCTTAAACTACTTTTCAGTTTGCGATAGTAACAGAAGAGGTCAAGTGTGACATTTCAGTTCATTCATTTTTAAATAACTGTTGCCTACTCTTTACTTCTGAAGTAAATATATTATTACAATGAAACAGATACACACACTGCATTTCATGTGCTAGCTGTATCATGAATAGGTTTGTTCTGTTTCTCTCCAGGATGTGGTGTTTTATTATATATGCATTAACCAAATCAATATGACTTTAGTTACGAAATAATCCTCAGTTTTGTTTCTTGCACCAAGTACCCAATTTGCAGAAGTTTATACCAACCCAACCAACTGATTTTGCAGTGAATGAGCAAACAGGTTGCCTATCAGGTAGGGAGGAGAACAATTAAGTTCTACCTATCTTGCTAAAAACCCAAACCATTGCCCAAAAAACCCATTGCTCTTACAGTTGTTGATTGAACAATAACAGCTAGCATGTGAAATTGTCTTCTCTACCCCTTTGCTGAGCGCTTTCCCAACAAGCGGTAGCTTTATCAAGAGGAGAAAGCATAGTGGGACAGAAGTAAATTTATTTTCTGGTCACAGAAGGTCATTTGCAGATGAGCACTAATTCTAGACCAGTAACAGCCAACCCTGCTGTTGTAAGTCCTTCTGCTCTCCCCTTCAACTAGGAGTAAATGCCAACTTACTAGAAGAGTAAACAAACTAAGAGCTAACCAGAGTTGCTTTCAAAGCCAGTTCAGCTACTCTTGCACTCTTCTGAGACTCCTTTGAATCTTCTATCTTTTCTTTAATTTCAGGAAGTAGCCCCTTTAATTCTTCGATCTCCTTCTCGTCCTCAGTAGCTCCTCCATCTGTTTTCTTTATTCGTTCAGTCAGCATCACTAGAAATACAAGTTAGTCAGCAATTTAGTAAACCAATGATACAATAGGCAAAAGCTCCTGAGCTCCTCTCCACTTGGGACATGCCAGTGTACACATTTAAATGGTTAACCAGTGAACCGGGGCTCAAAAGTTAACCCTCATGGTTTCAATGAAAGATCCCCACCACCCGCATTGCCTCTATCAGGGCAGGCGGTTCTGCAGGAGCAGGTGCTCACAGGGAGCCAGCTTAAAAGCTGTCTTCCTCCCTATGTAAACTGGTAACTGCTGAAAATTTTAGTGATTACATGTTTACAAAAACACTAACATCCCTACTCTCCACATCTCTCTCAATGGTCTCTAATGGAGAGAGTAGTGCATTTCCACTTTACTAACATCTTAGCTTTCTCCAGCTTTCTTATGAGTTATCTAGTTTTAGCAAATCTACTTACTCATTCTTTTGTCAATGACTTCAAGAGATTTACTGAACTGCAGAATTGCTTCATCAAACTGGCTGTTGTAGTGATATGCCAGTGCCAATTGGTAGTGTGACTCTGCTAACAAGCGGTCATGAGAGTCTAAATACTTCTGCTGCAAGGCTAGGCATGCCTGAAACTCTTCTATAGCTTGTGCATAGTTTTCTACAAATAGAAAAAAAGCCATGAACCTTTAACAAACATTATACATATTAAGCCAAGCAATTCTTACATGACAGGTCTCCCCATCTAATTTATTCCACAGACTGCTCTTTGATTCTAGGTGGACTGATATCAGTTGCCTCGTAAAGTGAAGCTAATAATTAGACACACAACTTGAGTTAATCATTTTCATGTAGTGCTACACTTTCTGCCCAACCTCCTCCTCTCCCCTCATTTGAGCAGTGATTTAGACAGTGCCATATGCACAATCCTAGTTTTGCAGTCCTAACCACCCATTGAATCCTCCCAGATGAATTCAGTCTGAAATCACTTTCTAGCCAAAGGGGGCAAAGATGATAAAGAACTACATTGTTTCAACTTAGGCAAAAATCTCAGAATTAAGCAACTGACGCATTTTTTCCTTGTGTGCACTCAAGAACACCAAGAAGCCAACCAGAGATGTTTGGGGGAGTCAGCCAATTTCTAGAACCCAACAAGTTCTCATCTAGAATTTCTGGAGACATATTCAAGAGCGGCTACTGTGTACAAGTCTATTTTCAAGTCACTTCTATTTCTATTCCAGCAATAAAAAAAAAGAAGTTGAGGCTCAACATGGCCTTCCCTCATTTTATTTAGTTGGCAGTTAATTGGCTTGTTCCCTCATTTGTCCCAAGACACTTCAAACTTCTGGGCATATCCTCATCAGCAGGGCTCGACAATTAGGGCAATCTACCCACCCAGGGCGAGTAGATTTTAGCCCGGCATGGTGCCACAGCGCGGTCTGCGCATGCGCAGCATGCCAAACCATGTGGCTGGTGAATAGGACTCACCGCCACTTGTCAAGCCCTGCTCATCACCTATGGCCATTTTAAATAAGCACATGATGGGTGAAAGCAAGCAAGAAGTTAAGCCCGTTTAGTACTCTAGCACTTTATGTACAATCAGATTTCAGAGAGTTTACCAGATTCGATGCTCACTTCTCCTAGTTTTAGGTGAGCCTGAGCAGCATGGAGCTGAGCTTCTTTTGTTTCCTGTCTAAATCAAGAAAGCTTTAGTTAGACAGTCTGCTATAAAAAAAAACCTCTGATCAGAGGCTTTTGCCTCTATCATGCCAACTTTCTATAGTGGTTTCCCCCCCCCCCCAACAGACTCAGCTCAACATGTGTGACGTTTACCTTTTATAGATCACTTTTGCCAACTCCAGCATATCCCAGGCTAGCTCCAGATTTCCAACTTCATCCTCTTCACTCTCCTGAAACGACTAGAATTAAATTTAAAAATTTAAATACAAAGACTTGTCCCAGTGAAGCAATGTGTGACAGTGTAGAAAGATGCTTATCAGGAATTTATGATTTAAAGCCATAGAAAATTGTTAAATTTGTCACCACAGCTTGAGACTGTCCCAAGCTCATACAGTAGTCTGCTGTTTTCAAGTTAGCTGAGACTCAAGAGTTCTTGATTTCAGGTTCTGTTTAAGACTACATCTCACATCTTTAGTTTATTTACAGTCATTTGAATACCACTGAAAACCTTTGCCAACATTACCTTGGAACTTAAGATACTACTAGTAAGAGGACCAGGAATTAAAGCTAAAGCAAGGTATTGCCATTTGCATCTAATAGATTACCAACACAATGCAGTAAAAAATTCCATTTAAAGCAGTTGTGTAGTGGCCTGCTAAAATATGGTGTATGTCAAACAAGAAAAACTAACTTTTTGGGTCAGGACTCACTTAACTCAAATGGCCTATCACAATCCAAACATACCACTACCACCCTTAAGATGCTCCCAGTCTCAACAATGACCCCACCTCCTCACTGGGCCCATGTGGCAGGGACTCTTGAGCTACAATTTCAGATGTCCTGGCCATATGCAAACTTGCAAAAAACCCTACCAATGGGAGTGGGGGAGGGAGAAGAGGAAGCAAGCCAAGACAGCTCAGCAAAAATATTGCTCCTCTATAGTCCATGAGGAGCAAAGATCAGTGGTCCTAGGAGGAGTTGGGGTGGTCTGGAGAAAGAACTGGAGGGCAGAGAGGTGACAAGCCAATAACTCTCCAAGAAGCACACAGCTCCCTCCTTCCTGGGCAGACAGAGAACAGTCTGTGTCATGTGTCTTAGGTAACAGTATCAACGTATGTCCTGTGGAGCTGGTTGGGCTCTGCTCCCCACTCTAAGCAATCACAGCTCTCCTTAGGTTTGGTCCAGGATTTCAGGTTTACTGTGACAGGTGCCAAGCTTGAGTGATTCTGCAACCCAGCACAAAGTAACAAATCCTAGTGTGGAGAGCTGAGACCAGACAGTTGTGTGACACTGACATTCTGGCAATTCAATTTTGAGCGTCAACCCATGGATTGAGAAACCCTGTGTTAAACGAGTCCTTCAAGTCAGTGCACAGGTATGCTGAATTGCTACATTATATGTAAAAATTCTAGTTATGCAATACCTGCAAGGATACACAAGACACACAGTCCCTGTGAGCTTTTGATTATGTATATCCCTATTGATTTTATTGCAATTGGAGCCAGAGGCTCATCCATGAGCTACCAGAACTTTATCCCTTCCCACCCTTCTCAAATTCACCTTACTCCAAGTCACAAAGGTGCAGTGGTAAAGAGGCGAATATAAATATTTAACAGACCAGTAGAGAATCGGATGGACGTTTACTTCTGGGGGAATCCTGCGTCACTGTGCATGCACAAAATTCATAGCCACCAAGATTTTTGCTTCCCCACAGAAAAATGATTTCTGCGAGTGAAGGGAAGCTGCAAGAGTAGTCATCTGCCCCCTCCCTGTCAGGGCAGGCAGGTCTGTCTGAGCACCCACAGCAGCTGGAAGAAATGAAAGTGGCCACCTGGGAAAGAAGGCTCAGCAGTCTCACACGAGACAGAAAGACTGTCCCTTTTGCTCTTTATTGTGGTATGGCTATGGGGCATTTCTGAAGGGGTAGCTGAAGGGCAGGCTCAGTTCCCTTAAAGAGCAGAATGCTGGCTGCTTAGTGAATTCCCTCATACTTGAATTCCCTCAGGAGTACGAGTATGAATAGGTATAAAAGTTTTAAGGCTCCAAAAAGTGGCAAAGGCCGGCTACGTCTACATTGGCAAAATTTTGCACAAAATCTTGCCACCTGTCTACACTGGCTGCGAGTACTTGCGCAAGAACACTGACGTTCTACTATATGAAATCAGTACTTCTTGCGCAAATACTCTGATGCTCCTGCTCAGGGATAAGCCCTCTTGCGCAAGAGTGTCTACACTGGCACGGATGCTTTTGAACAAAAGCACAACTCTTGCACAAAAGCACATGCCAGTGTAGATACTCTCTTGTGCAAATACTTGAACACAAAAACTCTTGCGTTAAAAGTATTTGTGCAAAATCTTGCTAGTGTAGATGTAGCCTGGGAGTATAAAGGCTTTGTAAAGTGCTAAGCTTTTGGACTGAAAACCTTTCCCATCACAAACATTTTCATGAACTGATGGCTACAGAGCTTTCTGGAGACAGGCAGTAGCCAGTATAAATTGTGAGTTTGAGTCCCTAGCCCTCACTTGCTCTTAGTTGCCTGTGATGTAACAGTGAGCATATGGCTGCATGTATTTGTTGACTAATAACTAGAAGGGTCAAACCTACCTACATTTCTATTAGACAGAGGGGGGTTTGGTGATTTCCTCCAATGCTCCTCTCTCCCATTCCCCATCCATTATACTGTAACCAAAATAATTGAAGCCAACTTGATTATATTGCATTTTGGAAAAAATGCAGAATTTTACAACATTATGCATAGAATTTTTGGTTTTGGTGCAGAATTCCCCCAGGAGTGGGAATTACAAGCTGTTTATTGGGAAGGGTGAAGCTGAAGTATGTTCATTGTGAGAATACACCTGCAGTCTAGTACAATCTGTTTCTGAGCTGCACTGGCTACCAGAGTGCTGTCACTGGTCCAGAAATAGCATAACAGCACAACCACCATTTGTCAAACGTATTAGTCAAGCAAGGTCTGAGATGATGAAGTGGGACTAGTATAATATCACTTTGGGCATTAGTTTTACCCAAGACTAACAAATATGCCTTTCATAGTCACTGAAGAGTCTGCAAAGGTGCCAGGATAATCAGAATATGACAAGGACCCAAGGTCACAGACAGAACCCCTTTTGTGCCTGGATTACCCAATGCTATTCAGCCATAAGCATTAGTTCTGTGTTCTTCCAAATGAATAGAACAGTAAAAAATCTCTCACCTTCTCTTCAATGGTGGAGTCATTTTCTTTATCGTCTTCAGTTTTGTCATTTTCTTTATCTTCCTCATCTGATCCTTCTGTTTCTGCAAGGAAAGTTTGCAGAGAATAACTAGTTATTTGCTATGCACACCTACACAATCTGTTTTGCCTGGCTCAGTTGTTTAGGCAAGCATCTCCCTCTTTTCCGTGATGAATTATGTGCAATGTTAGAACAGTCCAAATGATACTGTAGCCTCTTGCAATACTCATCTTGCTAAAAATGTTACTACAGTTCTACAAAAGAGGCTTAACATTATGTTTTCGGATTTTGCACTACCTAGAATGGAAGTTTTAGGGCTAAAATCTGACTTTCCCATGGGCACTCCCAAGTGAAGTCCATGAAGTTGTAAACATCACCCAAGACAAATCTGACTAGCATTTAGTCTTACAAGTCATCAAGGTAGCATTTCTGATACCATGTGTGTCAGCTATTTCTAAAACTCAAGTGCAGACTGCTTATGATTTTGACAACCTAGGAGATTTTAATCAGGCAATGTGTAATTTTGCAGTATCCATGCAACTTCCCATACAAGCTTGGAAATCTAGTACAGATCTGGAAAAAGGCAGCTCTGTGGGAAAGCTGGAACCAGCCTCTGTGCTGTTCAAGTTTCTCTTCTCTTGAGGAAGCTTGTTACTTTTGACAGAAAGAACATAGGTATGGTCTCTAGAACATAAGGGTGATTCGCATGGGTGGTCATCTGTGATAACTGCCACAGCTAGAGCCACATTCAACCACCATATTGGCAATGGTATACCGGCAGCAAAAACAGGCCAAGTCTCCTATGTATAACACTTGATTGATAAGCATGGGGACAAAGAACCTAGGTGTTTAACTTCCTAATAAGACACTTAGATAATTTACCTGTGCAAACATGACTACAACTCGAGACTGGAGGAAAAAAACATTAGGCCAAGAGGCTGTTATCAAACAATCCTCACAAAGTTAACAAATGGATGTCAGCGTACTTGCCCCCACCCATGCCATTTGGAGGGAAAAAAGTTGAGAGCTATTTTTCTTGTTGGCACAGACTGAGTGAGGCAAGAGAAAGAGAATACAAGGGTCTATCTGCAAGCATATGGTAACTGAAGATACTTTACAGCAGCAATTCTCAACCAGGGGTATGCATAGGTCTTCAAGGAGTACCTCAACTTATCTAGATATTTGCCTAGTTTTACAACAGGCAACAAAAAGCATTAGTGGAGTCAGTACAAACTAAAATTTCAATGACTTTTATACTGCTCTATATATACACACTATACATTGAAATGCAAGTATAAAGTTATTGAATAAGTAAATACCACAATAATGGTAAAAACAAGAAGAGTTTCAGTAGATAGTGTACTCTAACTAGGGATGCTAAACTGTTGGCAGGCCATGTGAAGGGATTCCATAACCACGAGCAGGCCCTAAGTTAAACCGTTAAGTGTTAGCATTTAACCAACTATTGTAACATCCCAAGCTCTGACACTTTATATTTTTATATCTGATTTTGTAAGCGAGTAGTTTAAATTAGGTGAAACCTGGGAGTATGCAGAACAAATCAGATTGCTGAAAGGTACGCAGAAGTCTGAAAGGATTGAGAGCCACTGTTTTACACTGGCTAGATTACATCCTATGTGATTGTTCTAGATCGTTCTGCCATGATGTTCAAAATGAAAAACGCCTCTAATATTGTCCAGACGATGCTAAGGAAATTGAGACTGTGGATGTTCTGTTACTATTAAAATGAGGCTTAGGCTGTTATAGACTGATCCGCCATGATGTTCCAACAGTCATTCGGATTGTCAATGTCAAAATACCATATGATGATTTATAGCCTCTTAACGTCTAAGTATGTTATTTTGGAAAGCATATAGAATTTGTTAGAATAGTTAAGCAGGTAAATGAAGCAGGGAAGCAGAACAACATGAAAAGCTACATAGGAAGAAGCTTGTATAAGCTAGCACCAATTTACAATAGAATTTTAAAACCTATCAGTTTACATTTAAGTTTCACAATGAAGTTCATTCTTTAGTCAATGAGGTTCCATAGACTAGTTCCAATTCTCAATACAAGATATGCTATCATATGTATCAATTCAGTGGATTCTACTTTACTGCTCCAAAGTCTAAAATTGGAGATTAGGACCAGAAAGCAACCTGTGACTCAAATTATTTGAAGGTTAGTGCAATAAACCCACATACATGCAAGTGAACATCCATTCAGTATTCTCTACCAGCCCAGTTATATTACTTGCCACACATTACTGCTGAAGCTAGCCACAGCCCCCCAAAAGATAACCACAGATTTTGCTTTGCAGTTAGTTAAGCATTAGACAAAAGCTAAAATGATTCACTGCTATGTGAAACTTAACTGAAGCCAGTTATTTGGAGGATTTTATATCCAAGCACCCTTTGTTTGGAACCTTCCATTAGTCTTTGGCAAACAGAAAATTCTGAATGGAAAAGTAACTTTTACCCCAGTTAGCAAGTCAAAACCATCAAGTAATCCACCCAAAAGTACTTCTCCTATCCCTGTTACCTTCACCCTCTTCCATCAGGTCCTCTCTCTCCTCTTCTTTTTCTACCTTATCACCATCTCCCTCTTCCATCAGGTCATGTCTCTCTTTTTCTACCTTAACAGCTACTTCAACTTTTACTTCAACTTTTTCTTCAGATTGCATTTCATTAGTTGACTCTTTACCCTCTGCAGGTGTGGTAGCATTTCCAGCTGCAAGCAATGTTTCTTTTGAGGCCAGGACCTCTTTTGACTTGAGCATCTCTTCCCTGGCCAGCACCACTGCCTTCTCCTCCACATCGCCATCTGCCTGCTCTTCCGTGGCCAGCGCCACTGCCTTCTCCTCCACATAGCCATCTGCCTGCTCTTCCGTGGCCAGCGCCACTGCCTTCTTCTCTTCAATACCTGCCTCAGCTTGCTTTTCTGCTGCTTCTATCACAGGATTGTCTGCCACTGCCTCCTTTTCCACAGCCACCTCTGCCTGCTCCTCTTCTGACACTGTCTCCTCCTGCAGATC